ATGCACCCTACCCTTATCCGCACTATGCCGATTTACATGAACATTGATTAATAGTACCACCTTGTTGAACAACATACCCGCCTCGAACTAAGCCACGGAGAAGATACTTTTCCCGTCTTAACCGGGTATAGCAAAGCGTCAACAAGGAGTATTGGAGTCACGATACCTCGCTGGCTTATAACTAGATGACCTAGTAAACGAGCTACGTTGAAATCTTGATATCGCCATGATTAAACCATTCAAGTCACGTAGACCAACATTATGGCGAGCTGCCTCATTTTCTTGGGCAAGTGTCGTTGCATCTGAAAGTGTCAGCTGCTGAATGTCGACAATTGCTCTAATATGTGCCCAAGCAGTGAACTTTCGTTGCACAAGGGTGGGCGCAGAAGTTGCTAGTCGATCTCGGACGTATGTATCGACCTAGAAAGAAATCTAACACAGGGTAACGCATATATCCAAGGGGAGATCTTCACCGTCGAAACGTAAGGAGATCCTACTTCTAGAGGCTTCTGGCTACACTACGATTTCGATGGAAACGGTCCAGACTATATTGTGAGCGGAGATGAAGTCAGTAGTCTAGAAATGCTGCAACGCAGTGAGACATTGTTCGGCTCCGAGATTATATCACTTATTTTGAAAAAGAAAGAACGAGAAACATATTCAGAGAGCGGCCTTGAGAGCAAGATTGAGGATATTCCCGCATATCACAAAATTGGTATTTTGCATAGATATTCCCTTCGAACGTGTAAATGTTGGAGGAAAAGAGGTTCTGATAAGACTAATGTAGGCTTCACTTTATTCCGTTGGCAAGTAGCCTCCGCACTCAAGCTACCTAATTTGTTGCAACGCCCGAAGAATTCCTCACAATGTACGATTTGACTGTACTCGAGAACATCACACCTTCCTTCTCAAAAACCTTAAGTCGATGTCAGGAAAATACATACTTAACAGGATACTTTCTTGACGACACCATCCTTATCTGGCAAGTGAGAAAACATATGGGTCAACAACCATAAAGGACTATCGGAGAAAGGAAGCATCTACATTATGAGTTCTAATCGTTCGAGAATCATGGGCTCGCAGTATAATGATCGTGAAACTCCTGACTTAAGGTCGACTCGATAATTTTTAGAAACTTTAGGGCCGTAGTTTAAAGATTCAAGGAATCTTGATACTCTCTAATAGCTTAGGGGTAGATGGAGTTGAGAAGGCTTGGTACCCGCTGAATGGATGGGATAAACAAGCCATGCCTGTCACTGTCAAACTGAATCTCATATCTTGAATATACCTAAAGCAACATATGGAAGGCCAGTACTAATGACGTGGCTGCCAAATCTTAACAAAGGCATACTACTGCAACCGCTGTAACGACTCAACAATTTATACCCGCGGTTGAGGAGCAGACACGCAAAGACTACATAATCGATATTGCCACCATCATGGCATACCACATTCCGAGTGGCTTCGCGCGGAGTTACGAAATGGACGGTGAAATGCTTATATGCAAAAAGCAAAGCAGTTAAATAGTAAGAGATGGACTTCACGGACGTGATGGTCTTCTATTACCACAAGGTCTCACCCCGGGACGAGCTTTTGAGAATATTGTAAGATAAAATCAGGCTCACTAGATACTATAAATTTGTCAGGTTCCTACCCAAGACCGAAAAGTACTTTATATTTGAGTCGTGGCTTATAGTTGTGATTTTAGTGTCGCAAATGTCGTTGATGAAGAATCTGTTCGACACCGTGCCCACGGACGGCAGATGTTAAACGATGAAACTCATGGCGGGAAACCGACAGTAGTAGAAGGAGCCCCACCTGAGAGCAACCCGGTTAGACTTCCCTTGGAAATGATCAACATGACATCGTTAACAATAGATGTGGAATGTACATGCCCACTACCCCACAGGAGATCAAGGAGGTTGACGTGGTTAGGATTAGGTATTTGATACGGACGAAATCATGAACATCCGGTGAGAGGTGCACACGCTCGTGAGCGCAGAATTGAGCGACAAATCAATCGACTAGGTGTTGTATAGCACGATACTGCTTAAGGCGTGGAGGCACGCTTGGCTAAAAATTGTAAGATCATGGGGATGGAGTTTTACTGAAAAAGCCGGGAAAAGAAGTTCATAGGGCACCACGAACACCATTATGGACACAAATAGAGTAGATGGACCAAATAGCATTACAATCATGATTGACATTCGCCACCTCCTCGCACTCCTAGTTGTCTCCGTGGAGTTGGCGATTCTCAACGCCATATGCTGTTCGATGATGGTGAATTTGGCCAAGATCATGTTTCAGCGAAGTCCCACAATTTGACAAACAGATACAACTATAGAGACATTGTAGGCCGGATCCAAGGCTCTTTAATAGTCGTGAACAGATCTCTAGGCGTAATAGCAGCAATAATTCCAAATGAGATTTTCCACTGAATGTGAGTAGACGCTATTTATGTGCAGTAATTGGCAAACAAAGTCATGTACACAGACTCTCGTACTACTAGTATTATGAACACGGACCTTGGTCAATAATGCTGAAAGCTATCTAGTCTTTATATATGAAGGAATGTAACATTTTAAGTCCGCTTTCCAAATACCAGTATCAAGGCTTTCTTGGATGCGAGCATAGTCGAGGTGATGCATGCTGGTTATGTGCTCAGATACCAGGTCGATCAGCAACCTCATCTCGAAGAAGCTTGAGGCCCTAAATTTGAAGTTGGACCGCTGAACAAACTCAATATTGGTTTTGATCTTACTAGGCAAGATTACTAGGGTATGCTCTTTGAACAACACGCTCGAGTATAGGGCTCCCTCGACTAATCTTTTGTGACCGGGCATGGAAGTCGAAGGTGTACAGTAGTAGTATCTATCAATGAAAGATGTCGAGGCTTCCTAGATGTGCAATAAAGACCAAAAGTGAAGGGAGTCGATTGGAATTAAAGAATGAAGGAGCTTGCTGTTCCCTGAGTGTGTAATGCACACCAAATTCCCCGGTTAAGCGGATAGGATAATAACTCATACTTGCTCTCATCCAGCTGACACGACTCTTGTGAAGGTCTTTTACCACAGACAAAACGTAATTTGCATAAGAAATGTTACCTTCATTCCACATACCAATTGTCTAAGTCGATCTCGTTGCTCGCTTCTAATGATACACCCAATCCGTTAACAGTTTGCTGCAGACAACAATATAGTCGGCCTAGGGTGGAGATGCAGCGATGAGAAGTAACGGACTAGATTGCCAAGATCATGTTATTACACCTCGTGGCACATTGGGAAGCGCATTTAGTGTTTTGACAGCAGTATCTGGGCATGAATCGCTTGCTACGAAGGGTGATAGCTGCATTCTATCCTGTGACCATCGTGGCAGAAGCTCCTGATCTATAACAAATCGCCGTGCTAGACATAAGACGATATCGTCCAATCCAAGATATGGCCAAGTCATCGTGAGGAGCGGTTTGGGGGCTCTTCGTGCTGAGTCCTCGATCATAGCATGCCGAAAGACCAGTTGAAAAGCCATAGGAAGATTCAGCGAATTGGTGCGACCAGTAGGTAGTGAGCAGTCTGAACTCGTTACGTACACCATGACACGATGGATTGCATTAAGACTAGCCATGGATCTATTGAACGTGTAGCATAGACCTACAAGAAATCTGCCCAGTATCTTTACTTAACGTATTTGCCAGCCAGTGAGAGTATGTCCCGGCCAAATTCAAAATCGTGATGAGAAATCTCGTCGTAGGAGCAATAACAGTAGTTGACTCCACTGCGCGCACAGTACCAGGATAAAATTCCTTCCAACTCTCAATATTAGGCTACACATCACCGTACAGCAAAGGCCTGAGAGGACGATTCTATTTTCAAGTGTTATTAACAAGCTTTTGAGATGGTGCTCAAGACCAGATGCATAGGAAGACCGAACAGACGTTTACAAGATGTAGCTCCACAGAAGTGTGAAATCACAGGGACTTGGTGCTGTTCATCTTGTTCCCGAATTTGGAGCATAATGCCAGCGTTTTGGGGAGGGACAGTAGTAGAGCATAAGGTTCCATAATTACCCTGACGGGTTTTGTACCAAGCGTGTTCAAGACTTTGAAAAATTGTAAAGAAAAAACAAAATGAATCTGTAGGGAATTCACCATCGCCATGTAACTTATTTCGATATTAGCACAGGAACACAGATTACATACCTTTCGGAGCTGTTACGTGTAGCAGTAGATCTTATCACAACGATACTTCAAGCACACAGGTACCCTCCAAACTGCAGTGTTGCTCTAGAAGGGGTTAGTCCGACAGGTCCCTCTCTTTCCCGCAAAACCGCGACTTCTGTTTTCGGTGGCAAAAGAGTCACGCGAACGTGAAGGAATATTTAGAAATGAACATCTGAGAAAGGCAGTACGTCTACATCTCATTTAAGGTACTCTCCGGTTTCAATTACACGCACACACGGTTGGTTCGTAGTTGAGAGTAAAGTCGTTAAAATGAGTCAGCAGTAATAACTGCTTGTACAAGAAACCTATGATGTCACCTAAACCTCTAATTTCACGGGTAGCTGTTCTACATAAATCGCAAATGTAGAAGCTCCGAACCATCGCAGCATTTCACAAACGCATGGTATAATCACCCAAAGCCGACCATAGATTATGATCCGGGATGACAGTTTGTGTTATGTCGGAAAGGTTATTTGCTTAAGAAGAGATGACGAATTAATCCCAGATGCGAGCAGCCAATACACGTGATTTTCTTTCTAATTCGTATATGCTATCTTTACATCACGCACGTTTTTCGCGTCCTGATGCCGATTCGCGTCTGCGATTCCTCTGGCGCAAGCTGCTGACCATGTTAAGGCATCGGGAACTCCACATAACCACGATTTCAAAGCCCCATTACAGGGTAGTCTCGCCAAGATCATCGTCGCGGTGAAAGTAGGAATTACCAATGGGCTAGCTTTCATGAGCGCGATGGATTCTTTCACTGTTCCCTACCAGGCCATCCATGCACCTTTTCGCCCTCTCGATGTGCATTCAATCTCATGACCTCTTCAAGCACTTTCGCTCGCACCACGCTACTCAACGACTGAAGGTAGGGACACATATCCGCGAGCACTTCTCGGCCTTGCCATCATCGTTGTTCAATCTTGATTAACTTCACTCCCGCTGTTGCGTATGAGCTGCCCGCCACAAGGCAAGTACTCTTTGCCATAAATCAGCTTATTAACGTCGCACATGGTAGTTTGCTACTCGTAGGAAGGTAAGAATTGGCCACGTCGCGCTAGCATTGGACGTGAATGCTTACCTCGAACAGAATTGAATACCTCACCAGCACATTGGAGACTCACCCCATCATCAGCTGTCAAACTGAGAATTCAACTCAACTGCTTTGGTTCAGGCTGGCATATGTCGTGTCCGTGCTTTACCGATTTACGCTACGAGCAGGAGATGCAGACTCCTCTGGCCTCAGCTCACGTCTCCTTCCGTCAAGGTAACTCGTCAAGCATGAGCTCATCGAGCACTACCTTGGTAAGGCCAATCAGCTCGCCAAGTACCCTCCAGAGGCATCGTCGCCCCCGCAAAACATACTCATTATGGTGGAAAATTATGAGAAGAAGTAGGTCTCGGAATCTACTACCGGTGCAGCTATCGAGTTCGTGCTAAGTAGGCTTTATAGAGGCTCGAGTGGCATCCTTTTTAGATAGCAGGTCCGGCCGTAGGACTGCTCAGTACGTTGAAAATGTAGAAGAGAGCAGCAAAGACGATGACAGCCACAACAACAGCAATGGTACAGACGGCAGTAGTAGTGCAGTGATTGGCCAGGGATGGGGAGGTGATCTGAAGAAGTACAGTGGTACAGAAAACACCGACAAGGAAAGGTGCTCAATTTCAAGCGCAGACATTGAGGGAGATGCCGGCAAAACCGCCCCAACTCATGAGCTGACCGCTGCCAACCTTCTCCTTCTTAACAACTCAATGAGTAAGCAACACCAGGTGCATGATGCATTCGTCTAATAATTTCACAGGCCATCACTCCGAAACTGCTGTCTACAACAAGAGTTCAAGCATCCAAGTCGACATGGACCTCACTTTAGCCTCCTCTACTAAAGCTGATTCAGTATTCGCAGTCATGAAAGCAACGTTGAAGCTCCGCCATGTATGAAGTGCCGGAGATGCGCCACATTTGAGCTGCTTGTTGAGCTCGGCTTGAGAAAGCTTGATCTCCCGTGTCGCTTTTCTTGAAAGCTACGCTGGGTCGACTATATGGAGCATCATCTGACTACCTTCTGCGTTGGAGTAGAGGTATGGTTTTCCGCTCAGACTTCTACGATTTCTGGCCTTGGAAGATGCGGCGACGATAAAATGGCACGTTGGATCGATGAAAGGGATTCCTATGTGGGATTGCCTCATAGTGATGAAGAGTAGATGACCATTGCAAACCCAGGACATAATTTCACAATTCAAAAATCGAGCACATACCGCTTTGCTACGCAGTGAGTTTATGATAATGTTTTTGGACCCACGGCATAGACTGTCCTGTCCGAACCAGTTATCCCCTCATGCCACTCCTCTATGCACCTGCTTCTAGTAACGTGCCACTCCTATGAGCGCCATCGCCTATTCTCCGACTGAAGATAAGCTCGGAGACACAAATATGAGGAAGGCGGGTGCATAAGTTCGACACGTTATGTGCGAGATGGTGGGCGGAGAGCAATGGGGTGAGAGGGATGCTCATTGAGCGAGGGGGACGCCGAACGGCTGGTCCAAGCGCCCGTGCCAGATGCTCCAGCCTCGGAACGTCAACACGATCCAACAACACGACACGATAACCACGACGACCAGCATCTCCACAAGGACGCGGATCATCACCCTCTGCATGATTCGTAAGCGCGCTCACTCCGAGGACTCTCACGCCGACTGTCTGCCCGCGCCCGCGCCAAAGAGGCAGAAGCCGGCGGTCCTCCCTCACACCCCCGAGACGCTCGCCGACTCGCACTCCAGCCCAGCGCAACCCAAAGCCAGCCCTTCGTCGCCCCACGCCAGTCCATCCCTGCCGCACGCGCCCCTCACGCACGAGAACCTCCGAAAGTGGGAGCAGTCGATCGCCTCATCCACCCAGCCGAAGTCGCGTCCGCCCATGACAGGCTCGACAACGTCAGACGGTGGGAGCAGCACCACCGTCGACGAACGCGCCAAGCTCGAGGCTTACGGCATCTTCCCCACGTCCGACGCCGCCCTGCCACCGCTGCTCGACACACACGTGATAGACGTCATCCGGCGGGCGCGAGACGGGCCGCTCTCGCCCGCTGCGAGACTCGTCGCGCGCAACCAGAAACGAGCACAGGCTGCAAACGAGGCCACGGGCATCTCCTACCTGGCGCCTCACCTGCTCTTCCTGGGAGAGGCAGACGATGGCGAGCCGTACGTCCACCGTGTCAAGAACTGCAACCTGAACCGCCAGTTTCTGCCCTCCGCGCCCGACGCCTTCATCCACGCCCAGGTCGGCAAGCTCAGCCAGCCACAGCCAGACGACGCCATCGGCTACATTCCCGTCCATGTCGCCGCGTCCAGCGACGTCACAAACTGCCCTCTGACACGTGACGAGGAGGCTGTCATCATGCGCGACCTGCTCACTCCCGACCTGCACTTTCCCTTCCTCACCTGCCAGTGGAAGAGCGCCAAGGGACGCGACAAGCACTGGCACGCCATGCATCAGAGTGCTCGAGACGGCGCAGCCATCATTAACCATCTGCACGCCTTTTACACCGAAGCTGGCATCTCTCCATCCGTCGTCGACACATGTCACTTCTCCCTTACGTGCGACTTCGAGTCGGCGTATCTGTTCGTGCATTGGCGGGAGGACGACCAAGCCAAATCGCCAACTTACCACATGAAGAAGATCGAGCAGTCGTTCCTGCGCGACCTGCACGACCCCAACAATCCTACCATGGTCTGCTTGCGAGGTCGGCTGCGCAACATCCTCGACTTCGCGCTAGGACCTCGCCTCGATCGCATCAAAGCGACTATCCCAATACTCAAGGCCGTCAAGGCGCAGAAGCGCGCTCGTGTCTCGCCTACGCGCAGAATGTCCAAGATGTCTCACACCACCGCGTCTGACCAGGGATATGGTGGGAGTATCAATCTGTTTACAGGTACGCCTAGTCTGCCGCCACCGAGCCCAACAACCTCGCCTGATCCGAAAAGGCGCCGGTGTTGAGAATAGGCGTGCAGATGTTGGGGGTCGGCCTAAACTAATATAGCTCAGAGAATAAAGCAAGCGAATCCAGCTGGGGATGAGTAGATGCAGGATAGATTTTGAACAGGAAATCGCGCCTTGTAGGCATAAAAATAAGCACAAGAATTGATAAGATTAATATAACTATCTACAGTAACAATAAAATCTTTTAAGACTTACATTTTCTCTAAAATTATATTATAAGCTCTTAATACTAACTATTATTAACTGTAAGACTTAATCTACTAAAGTATAGTTATAAAAATTAACTTATTACTTTTCTATCTAAAGAAATATTTCTTATAATAGGACTCTTAACTAGAGTCTATGTAGTAAAAGTTAATAGTTACTTATAATTTTTTAAGATAAGAGAACTATAAACAGGTTATTAAGATGTAGAATTATTTTAGGTTTATAGTATATTTATACTTATAGTATAAGAAGATAGATATAAAATAGTAAGAATTAATATAGTAACTAAGTATAGAAGCTAAAACTAAGCCCTTTATTATATAGTAAAGATTAGTATAAGTATATAGTAATAGTTATAAGAAACTTATTAGCTATTTCTTAATAACTAGCTACTTATATACTAATCTAGATATATAAGAACTTAGGCAGTAATTTAAGATATAGAATAAATAATTATTAATAAGGAGATTAGATAAATTCTAGAGGTATAAGCCTTAAAGCTTAATAAGAACTATTTTTAAAACCTTTTAGGCCTAATACCTTAAACTTAAAAGTCTACTAGTAGAAAACTATTAAAAGTATAGATAAAGGTTTCTATAATAGAGCTTTTTTCTAATATATTTTATTTTAAGGTAATAGGATTTTTAAAGAAAATTAGTAAGTAATTCTTATTTTCTATAAATACTTTAAAAAAACTTTCTATAAACTCTTATAAAATAGATTAAGTTTATAAAAGAAAATAGTTATAAATAATATCTTTTGTTAAGCTAGATTTAAAACTTAGGTTAAAAGCTAACTAAATTAGGCTTATATAACTTTTATTATATCTTAAACCTATTAATATTATAGTTACTTTATTATAAGAATCTTTTTATTCTTAATAAACAATTATAGACACTACTATACGTTTAAAAATATTTATTAAAGAGTATAGTAAATTAATTTAAAGATTTACACTTAGTAGATTTATATTTTAAAATCTACTCTTTTAAAATTTTTAAAACTTTAATAATTGTTTTCTATACTTTAAACTTTTATACCTCTATATTAGAAGCTATATAATATATAATTTTAAGAAGTAAGAAGTTTAATTATAAGTTTTCTTTTTATTATTAAGTAGTTATTTTGTTTTTGTAATTATTAGTGTTTTTATTAACTTCTAGTACTATCTATACTATAGATAATATCTACTAATATATAACGTAATTATTAGGATCTTATTAATCTATTTTAATAATATATTTTATTCTATTACGTAGATCTTTACTTACTATATTTACTAAACTTTAATAATTTTAAAACTTTTAACTTTTTATTTTTATTACTATAACTATTTCTATGTATAATATAATTTATATTACTATTAGTAATATTACTGTTGTTCTATAACCTAGATTTATTATACTATTATATTAACTCTAAAGGTTAGAAAATAAGGTGTTTAACCTTCTAGAATACTTTTATAATTTCCTATTTTCTAGAAGGTATACCTAAGATTAATAGAAGCTTATGTTAAAAAGATTTTAATTCTAAGAGAAGTAGTATTTTAATACTAATAAATAAAAATATAATTTAAATAAGAAAGCTTAATATTAAATATTCTTTATTAGTTTTTAATAGTAAATAAGAGATATAAATTTCTAACTTTTAGAAGCTAAACTCTAAGTCTATTTTTAACTTAATAAAACATAAGAAGATTAGTATTTTAGTAATATAAAGTATTTTAATTATACTAACCAGGACTTACTACTTTCTTATGTAATTTAGTTAGGTCTTTAGGCGTTTAATAAGAGAAGACTAAAGTACTATACTAATACTAATAACTATTTTCTTTTTTTTTCTGTATTATACTACACAATATTGTGTTAAAAGTATTAGTCTATACTAATAAAGAAACGTTTTTTAATATATAGAGAATTATAATACTAAAGAAACGTGAAAAAAAATTTAACTTAATAGATAAATAGAATAGTTTAAATCTATTAGTTAAGGTAAGAATTCTTTATATTAAGGCTTATTAACCTAAGTTACTTTTAAATATTTATCTTTTTAGAGTAATAAGTTTATTAGAAAGTATATCTAAGCTAACTATAGGTTCTACTATATAGCTAATCTATAGAATAGAGTTAAATATATTATGTTATTAATATATTTCTAAGATACGTATACCTGTTTATTTTAAATTATTTCTAATAATTTCTAAATTTCAACCTAGTTATAGAATTTTACTTAGTATTACTACTACAATTACTATTTCTAATACTATTACTGTATCTTTAATAGTTATATTCTAGACTACTTATAGTACTTAAAGGTACTATACCTACTAAATTACCTATTCTAATATTATCTTTTAGTTATAATACTTAAATAAAAAGCTTACCTATAGTAGAACTTTTTAAGAGTTAGAGAAGTATTATTATATAACTTAGAAGGTAACTAGTTAGAGTTAAAAAAAAAGGTAATTAAAATTCTTTATTAACTTTATTAGCCTATATAAAAAAGTAGTTAAACTTTAAATTTTTAATTATTTACTTTATACTTTTACTTTAGGTATATAAACTACTAACTATGTAGATTCTTTTTATTAAACTTTTTACTCTTAGATTTAGTAATACTTTCTAATCTGCTTATTATCTAGTTAGTTAATTAAGAATCTTACTATTATTCTAGGTTTATAGTGTATTTATACTTCTAATAGTAAATACTAGTTAAAGTATATAGTAATAGTAATAGAAAGCTAATAAAATTTCTATTTCTTTTATTAACTAGCTGCTTAATATATTAGTATAGATATATATTAAAAGCCTAGGTAGCTATTAGTTAAAGTTTAGTTTAGTTTTAAACCTAAGGTTAATTTATAAACTATAGCTAGGTAGTAAAAACCTTTTAATTAACTAGTAATTCTAAATATATAACTAAAGTATCTTTAAAGAAACTAGAGGTAATAATAATATATATAGGTCAGCTAGTATATAAATAATTTATATACCTTAAAAGTTAAGATCTTTATTTATTTATTTATTAATTTTATTTATTTAATTCTATTCTTCTTTATAGCTAAAACTATACCTAATTAAAAATATTATATTATTAGTAAAGCCTAGGAGTTATTATACTATATTTTATAGTAAACTAAAAGATAAAGAAATAAAGTAAGTAATTACTAGTACTAGTATAGGACTTTAGAAATCTATAGTAACATTTCTAAAGACCTAGTTAAGTAGTAAAAGGAAATGAAAATAATTACTTAGTATAATAGTAATATTCTGCTTTAAGAACTTAAATATTAAGTAATACCTTATACTTACTAAAAGACTTAAGGTAAAGCTTTTTAAAGTTAAGTTTTAGCTTCTTTTAATATAAGTTTATAAGGCTAATAACGCTTTTTTTAATACTTAACTTTTTTAACTTAATAGGCTTACTACTAAGAAGTATATAGCAACTATTTTAACTAGAAAATATAAAGTATTTTAAGTAAGCTTTTATAGATTCTAGGTATACTATCTAAAAATAGAAACTTCTAAAAGTAAGTTAGAAGGTATAAAACCTTACTATAAAACTATAAATAAATATAGAAAAAGAATAAAGCTAGTTTATCTTATTAAAAGGTAGAAGTAATAGTAATAGTAATAGTAATAGTAATAAAAAGTAGAGGGCTAATAATATAGAAAGTTTATAACTAGTTCAAACTTTAGCTACTATAGGTAGTATTAATATACAGTAAGAACTTATAAGTAATTAAAACGTATATATAACTAAAATAGAATAGTAACGTAATATATAAACCTTTAACTTCTAGGGATTAGAATCTTAAAATAAATAAGTAATATACTAAATAAGTATAACAAATATTATATAGCAGTCTATATATCTATAAAATATAAGAATATATAGTACTTAAATATCTAGGCTGTAGTAATTATACTAGACTTAAAGTCTATTATCTTAGTTAATGTAAGATAAAATCTAAAATAGGCTAATAAAAAAGTTTTAAATCTTTAAAACCTAAATTACAAAAAATCTTATTATACTAGTTAAATATATACTTACTATTAATACCTATTTACTCCCTTAGGTAATTAAGTTTAAGTTTTAAAAGTATAAATTAAAAAAAGAATCTTTCTATTTTTATAATAGTTTATATTTTATAATAAAAATAAACCTTCTTAAATACTTAGGCTTCTAAAAAAATAGATCTATATTAGTTTTAAAAAGAGTTTGTTCTTATAATAAAGTTAATTAGTTCTTTTTTACTATTACTTTATACTGTTACTAATACTTTCTATCTAAAAAAGAGCTAGGTATTAGCTTCTATATTGAGTTATAATACTTTATATATAATAAGTATTAGTAAAACTATTTAAAATAGTATTTTTAAGTAGATTAACTATCCCTTAGTAGTATTTTCCTTAATATACTAGTATAGATATATACTTAGTAGTCTAGGTAGCTCTTAGTTTAAGTTTAGTTTAGTTAGATACTCTATATTATACTATAATCTAAAGCTAGCTTTTAAGAACTCTTTTATTAATAAGTAATTTTAAATATATAACTAGAGTAGCTTTAGTAAGAGTAGAGGTTATATTAGTTTCTATAACTAAGCTAGTATTTATATATTCTTTATATATTAGAAGTTTAATCTTTAATATATCTATTTTTTTTTCTCTTATAACTATAATTATAGCTAACTAATAATATAACTCTATTAGTATAGCCTAGAAGTTTCTACGCTGTATCTTATAGTTAGCTAATTTCTAGAGGACAAGGATTAATATATAATCTTATTATTATGTTTTTATATATGTGTCTTGATTATTTATTAGTCTTTAATTTAAAAGTTTAACCTAGTTGTAACTTTCTACTCTCTATTACTATTACTATTACTATTACTATTACTATTACTACTACTTTTAGCTTTTTCCTTATTCTATATTAATTATAAAAGACAGCCTTATAGTATAGTATTACACTGTCTAG